GCACGCAGGTACACACACGTACACGCAGATACACGCACGTACACGCAGATACACGTACGTACACGCGGGTACACGCACTCGCACGCAGATACACGCACGTACACGCAGATACACGTACGTACACGCAGATGCACGTACGTACACGCGGGTACACGCACTTGCACGCAGGTACACGCACGTACACGCAGATACACGTACGTACACGCAGATACACGTACGTACACGCGGGTACACGCACTTGCACGCAGGTACACACACGTACACGCAGATACACGCACGTACACGCAGATACACGTACGTACACGCAGGTACACGCACTTGCACGCGGGTACACGCACGTACACGCAGATACACGCACGTACACGTGTGTGCACGCGAGTACACGCACGTACACGCAGGTACACGCGGGTACACGCACGTACACGCAGATACACGTACGTACACGCGGGTACACGCACGTACACGCGGGTACACGCACGTGCACGCGGGTACACGCAAGTACACGCACGTACACGAGGGTACACGCACTTAGCTGCGAAACGCCGGCCGATTGCGTTTCTAGCAACGTACGCGCTACCGTGCCTTCCGTCATGCCTCTGTGCGCATGTGCAGTAGGTATACGTTTGATTTGGCGATAGACGAGCCTCGGCACTTGCTCGATAGACGAGCCCCGACAATTGCTCGATAGACGAGCCTCGGCAATTGCTCCATTCCATGATTCAATACGCCTATTCAGTATTCGTGCCTTTGATTTGTCAATTCGTCAATTCGTCAAATCGTCAATTCGGCGAGAATTGCTCAATGTTGCAGCAACTACGTACATAATTTTATGGGAGGGGATATGTGTCAAAATTCAAACGTTCAATTGATCGATTGATTGTTCAATTAAACAGTCAATTTAATCATTCAAATGTTTAATTGATCGATTGACTGTTCAATTGATCGATTGATTGTTCAATTAAAAAGTCGTTTAATCATTCAAACGTTCAATTGAGCAATTAAATAACGAATTGCCAAATTGAAGTGTACATTATCACCTCATAGATTATGTAGCCAGCTAAAAATCGATTTATAAGCAGAGGGATATCTGTGAACACATGAGTGTGGCAAATCAAAGGGTGGTGGCTGCATGGGCAATAACTTAACTTAATTCGTAAGCAAATGCTGCTAAATTGCTACATTGTATATGTACGTAGTAAACAGATAGGGAAAACAGCTAGGGGTGTGTGTAAAATACAATGAAACAAGCACAAAAACACGCATATTTTTAGACGCTCAAACTCACGCACACACGCATACAGGTATTGATAATTAATTATTTTTCAGATCATATGCGTATGTGCGTGCGTGCGTGCTTGTGTGTTTGCCTGGCGGCGCACGCGTGTGTTTGTGTGTATGTATGTCTGTGCATGCGTGCGTGCGCGCGCGTGTACGTGTGCGTACGTGTGTGGAACCTAAAAAAGTTTAGCCACGTTACCGCATAGGATAAAATAATATTAATATCGTTTTGTTTATGTAATTGCGATTTGTGATATTTGTGAACTGTAATTTATAGATTTTTAAGTGTAACTGTTTACTATAGCTGTCTATAATTTGTCAATTAATCATGGCTTTGCTTTAAACGTATAATTTAAATATGGTTCCACGTTCCCATTGTTTCCCGAATAGTACATAGCAACGTTATTCTACAACATATGGTATTTTGCAAATTAATGTCGCGAGAACAGGTTGAAAACCATACAAAACGCAGAAAGTTACACAAAACGTCTTCGGAACCTAACTGTGGCTAGGCTGGTTGGGATGGTCATAGCTACTTACCTGTGTATCTGAGCGGTTGAACATATGCTGTCATTTGTTACCCTAGTGGCTAGTGTTACGTTGTGGTTTGTGCACGTACTCACTACTTGTTTTGTTAAGTAGTATTTACTTCAAGCCGTTGTTATGTAAATACGTGTTTTTCTTGACGCCATGTTTGGAAATTCAACCAGGTAATAAGGCTCGCGTGCATACTAGTTTCATGTAAACATATATTACAGTGAACGTATACGCTACAGTCTGTCACGCCTTACGTAAGTATTGTACTGAGAAATGGTTGATGACTTCGGGTTCTCGTAGAGTCGACAGCGTAGTATAGCTATGTAGCAAATAGCAGATTGTAGCAAAGTAGATGAGATGTAGCGAAGAGTCGTCCGGCAGATGATTACAGAGTCTTGTTATAGTCAGGTTCCGAATGAGACAGAGTCGCAGATTATTTGTAGGTAACTCTGTCTTTATTACTTGACACACATACAAATATATACAATACCACAGCCTAGGCAACCGCGCCTAGGCTCCGGCGCCTCGTCTCGATCTCTCTCCTACACACACACACACACACACACACACACACACACACACACACACACACACACACACACACACACACACACACACACACACACACACACACACACCAACACACACACACACACACACACACACACACACACACACACACACACACACACACACACACACACACACACACACACACACACACACACACACACACACACACACACACACACACACACACACACACACACATCCGACTCACTACATAGTAACAGTGTGACTCTCCGTATCAGGGGCGTACCTATACCTATACGCAACTGCGTATAAGTTAACATACGTAACATAAATTTAACGTAAATTAACGTAACATAATAACATTCATTAACATACGTTAAGCAAATGCGTACTAAATTTTTTGGATCTTTTTACTAAAACAAAATAAAATCATGCAGATGTCAAATGTATTTCTTATTAGATATAATAATTATCCCAATTAAATATGCCTTAGACGTCATTACGCCAGAGGGTCGGAAGGATTTCAGTAAAAATAACAACTTTGACAAATTTGAGTGCAATTTTGCGTACCATAAAAAATATCTGGGTACGCCCCTGCGTGTAATAACTGTTCTCTAACTAATTCCACCGTGTAATAACTTGGTAACTAGTATTCTGTCTGTCCGAGCGTGTCTATTTATACGCTTCTTAAATCAGCCGGGACGCCCTATCCGAACCTCACCCGCTGCTTCTACTATTATAGTGACATATTAATGCCCATTTGTTTGTAATCATTAGGGTGCGCGGTGGGGCTACGTATATATACGAGCACGACGTCCCATGTCATTACAATAATTACAATAACTTGCCAGGGTTAGAAGTATAGACAATTAGTCGCACAGCCTCGTCTGGCTAGAAGCGCCACTGGTTAATTAGAACGCAATGTACAATACAACATAAGTATATGTGTTGCTGAGTAACATTGGTAACGCGAAGAATATGATGGATCGCCAATGACGTTCATGATGTAATTGAAGATGCGTAATTCCTACTGAAAATCTTTGGGCTAAAAAGCACTAGAATGGCTAATTGAAAATGCAAGTGAATTTAAAAAGGCGAGTGGCATGCCTACAACAGGTGCGCATCGCAAATCGCGGCCTCGCTACTTCAATGTGGCGGCACTGCCTTGCCACATATCCCTTGCTATACTAGTACTAATGCACCTAGATAGGGCGCGGACATGCCGGCGACGTGTCGCCCAAAGGAAATGACGTAGAGCCGACGTTAAGCATTTAATATTAATTAGATTGTTTTATGATGTAACACATTAACGTTGATAATAGTAATAGGGGAAGAGACAACAGAAGTAGAAATATTGAAGGGAAGAGGGAGAGATTATTACCAGCTGGCCCACTCTATAGTTATCACTATCATTGTCGGTTTTGGATTTTCAGGCTCTAAATTGGAGGCCGAAAAATTGTCTAAAGTTGCTTGCCGTATACCTACAGCTAATCTTCCCTACGTACGTCCTCCCTCCTCCTTTACCTCCCGCGTCCCCTCCTTCATTCCCTAGCTCTTCTCATTTTATTTCTTCTCTCACTTCTACCCCTTCCTTTCCTCATCTACATCAGGTGTAGGAAAATTAGTCACAGGAAAATTGGTCATAATTGGTAAACCTCAATATACTTCTGCTTCTTCCTTTCTTAATTCTTACTTCTCTTCACTCTCTCCCTCTCCCTCCTCATTATGCACCCCTTCATCCTTCTTTCCCGTGCTTGTTCAATTCAGTTCTTCTATCCAGTACGAGTAAACCGGGTACGCACAGTATTATTGGCTGCTCCAAGAACCGGCCATCCCTATATGTTTAGTTGATTGTCTTGGCGGAGTGTAATTTCTTCTATATACGGCCACTATGTCTATATGAACACTCAGAAGTGTATGTAGTTTGCCGAGTCGTGCCGAGCAAACAAGGACAACTGTTCGGATAAGAGAAGTCGTGACTTGTACGCAATCAGAACATGTACTGGCCATCGTAGAATGCGTAGAGGTTATGACGTTTACATAATTAGAGGCCCACGTCATAGGGCAGGACGTGACGTGTACGTCGTGTACGTAATCAGAAGCACATGTAATTGAAAAGTACATGACAGTCGCGTAATTCGGAGCGTACGTCATAAGAAAGGTTGTGCTTTTTACACAGGTTGTGTTGTGTTCTTTAGTTTATGAATTAACTAAGAGTCAATGATTTGTTTATTGTAAAAACAATGAGTTTATTCATGTAAAGTGCGACGGACATCTTGAACTCGAATGGCTTCTGAGAAACAGTTGGCGCCATCTATCTTCCACATTTGCAAAGGTAATATGTTACATAATAACTGAGGTGCATCATCGCATGTTCATAGGACGAAGGCTCGTTGGCGATCCCTTCACTGGCGTGCTTGTTGAGTTGTTTACAAAGGCAATGTCTTGTTGAAAAACAAGAGAAGCGCATCTCTCGGCGTCACAAAATATAGAAAGTCAGCTTTAGACTGCATCTGCTATCAGGTCGTGGTCCCATATCCCCACAGTCAGAACTGGACGGAATCCGATAGGTCGAGTTCAGTCAACTTAGTGGTGTTGAAGCCGATGCCGTCTGATTCAGTCGAGTCATCCAACGACGTGACCTCTTTGCAAAGGTTCAGTATGTTGCCGTTCGATGAACATATGTCACTGAAACGGCACGTATTGCAACACATGTGTAATATAGGTATTGATGTATATAACTATAAATCCCATGCGTCTGCAGCTATAGTAGAGTCAGTTCAGCCAGGCGGTTAAATTCCCATCTCACGAAACCATCGAGGATACGTCATAGCAGGAGTAAGATATCAACGCATCCTTGCGGGTTATGACCCATAAAGGATGTTATTCGTAAGGGCATCTTTTATTCTTGTAGGCCTACTTCTGATATTATATAATATCAAGAGTGCATAATAGAGATGCACTCTTGCACTCTCTATGCACTCTCTATTATGCACTCTTGATAATATGTTCCCTTTTATTAATTATTCTTATAAACATCTGTAGCTGTACGCCCGCGGCAAGCGATACCGCACCTCGCAAGTAATTAGGCAGAATGAGACCAACTACAGACACAGACACACACACACACACACACACACACACACACACACACACACACACACACACACACAACACAACAACACGACGACACGACACGACACACACTACACACGACGACGCACGACACGACGACGACGACCGACGACCGACGACCGACCGACGACGACG